GAGTTAGGATTGCGGTCCGGCCCCAGGATTAGGATTGGGGACCCCCCCCAGGATTGGGATTGGGACCCGGCCACAGGATTAGGATTAGAACCCCGACCCTAGGATATGGATTAGACCACCACTCTGGATTAGGGATTAGAAGTGGTCCACCCCTGTTGAGATTAGAGGATTGCTGACCGGTACCCACCCCCTGGATTAGAGGATTAGGACCACCTGGCACCCCTCTGCTTGTAGCAGCAATTTCCTTTGTCCCACGGCTGTCCACAGTGAGTGCACAGGCCGGCCTTCTTGAGGGCGTCCTTTGCCTGTTCACACAGGGTGAGTCCTCAGCCGCGACCACCATTGTGGCTGCCACCCCGACCACCGGTATGACCGCCACCCCGACCGTGGTTTCCACGGCCCAGGCCCTGCTTGGAGGGGGTAGAGGCACGTCCCAGAGAGAAATTTAGGGTCGCCACTTTGGGTGGTTTGGATGCATTTAAGTGCCATTGCTGATGTTTTGTGTACTCGGTAAGAGAGTCAAGGTCGGGCCATTTGAGGCTGAGCGAAACAGTGGCACACATGCCGTGCAATTGTGTGGGGAGTCCTTTAAGGAACCAGTGAATGAGGTCGACTTGGCCCATTTGAGGGTCATTGTACGTGATATGGTGAAAGTGCTGGAGTACTGGGGTCCGTACTGGGGTCCGTACTGGGGTACGGACTCGCTGGCCTTCATCGCATGTTCAAGCCTATCAAGGCGTTCACAAACTTGGTGTGGTGTGTCTTTGTGCACATCACCAAACCGCTGGATGAAGTCTGCATGAAGAGCCTCAATCATGGGGTTGGAGTTGTTACACACGTATATGTTGTAAGTACACAAGTACACAAGTAAGAACATCACCGGTGCAGTAATAACGCAGCCCCTGGACAGGATTGTTACCCATATCTCGCAAGTATTGCACAACCAGTGTTTTTTTTTAAGTAATATATTACTTTTAAGGAATAAAGAGGCCTTTTTGGCCTTTGGAAATAAGGAACAAAGTGAGGCCGATCCGTACATTTTCATTCCTTCAGCCAAAAACGTCCATTGCTGCCAGATTGCTCCGTAGTGTGCAGAACTTAGTATTATCGATCATAAAATAGATATGAGGGGCCGTAAGAAGGTCAAGCCCGTGAGTCAACGCGGCATAGCAGAATGTATGACCGGTCCTTCCATAGACAAACACGCAAAAGGCAACGACTTGAACGCCGAACAAACACAAAAACAGCAAGATAAGTCTGAAATTTTTCCTGATAAAGGCGTTTGGGACGGCGGTGCTGTTGTCGGTAATGCATCGGCAATGTTGCTGCCAGCGGCGACCGATGACACGGGCGCCATTACCCCTGCCTTCCATGGCGGTTGTGATCAGCATAAGTGCAAGCTGTCACCCAATCAGCTTGACAACAACGAATGCGGCGAGGCGCCCAACCCGAGCGCTCGCAGTGCCAAGCGGGCTCAGACACAGCGCATCCGCAGGGGCCGGTACATGATGAACCGGTAGAGTCCCAGTGTGCTGTGGTTTGCAGTGGCGGGTGACGGCCTTTGATTTGCTATGCGGTTGCTTGCTTTGGGCCTTTGCTTGGTCGGATTTACTTTTTGTTCACAAACAGTGCCAGAACTATCTATGCATGTGCATGAAGCGTGCGCACATGAACGAAAACGCGCCAATGCAGTGCGTGCCTCTTGGTCTATGAGGGGAGTTGTAACTTATCGGGGGGGGGTCTGGGGGGGGCGTAGCCCCCCCCAGCGCCCCACTCTTAAGGAATACATAACGGCGACGCTAGCAACTTTGTTACTTAGGTTGGAATAAATTGAGACCCCCCCTAAATGAAAAAAAAATCACTGTGCACAACTGTGTTGAACCAGGCGTCGGGCTTGGTGACCTGCACGCTGGTTGTGCCATTGAACACGGGCGGTTGCCTAAAGCTCTTGGCTAGAACAGCGGCAGCTGTCGCTGTTTGCGACAGTGGGGCTGGCTGCTTGAGAACTCCTACGGATGTTGTGCCTGAAGAACCATCAATCCCACTTACGTTGGCCTGGGTGTTGCCCGGTGCAGCCACACCAGCAGGCGCCTGATTGTTGGCAGCGGCGGCCAGTGACAGGTTGACAGTTGGCGCTGCTAACAACTCCGGGGCCGGATTGCGTACAGGCTGTGCTACGGCAGCCGCCACGGTAGCTTCTGGCTGAGCTTGAGCTGGTGGAGGAGCGGGAATGGGAGGCCGTGGGGGCTGGGCCAGGGGCTATAAGCTCCCGGCCATGTACACGAGCTCCGGGATGGAGCCGCCCAGTTGCTGTAGGGAGCCGTGCAGTTCCGCGAATTTAAGTGTCGCCCCCTTCCTGGACGACGTATTGTTCCCCTTAACAGAGCTTTCATAAAATTCCTTCAAGTCCTGCGATTCCGGATGCCTGCCTGAGAGTTTCTGGGTTGACCCTGTAATTCATCGAAATTGCTCAGTACGAGTGGTTTAATTTGGCACGGATGAGCTCACGACACGGTTTCCCCCACACGCACTGCTGGATGTGTTCTCTATTGTCTACAGCGAGTACTGGGAGGCCGTGCCAGCACCAACTGTGCCAGACATCAAGGTGAAGATCAAGGACCACTACTGCAAAGAGCGGGTGGGGCCCCACCCGGGCCGGGCCCCACCTGGCGGCCGCAAGGTGCCACCAATGCGCGATGGCATGCTGCTAGATGCGCAGCAGCAGCTATTCATCAGCACAATGACACAACTAGCTGCCGAGCAGCGTCTTGCACGAATGAGGGAGCAGACAGAGCAGTGGCGGCAGGCGGCCGTGAAGGCTGAGGCACAACAAAGCAAGCATGCCTACCGTGCACTGCTGGATGACACACCGACCTCACGACTATGGCAGCGGATCAGCAACACGCCGGGTCTTGCCAGCTCCTTGACGGAGTTTTCAGCTTTGGCTAAGATGGTGTTCGTGATGGTGCCCGGGTCGGTGGAGGAAGAGCGGCGGTTCTCAGCAATGGCGTACTTGCAGGACCCAGCCTGCAACCGGCTGGACGAGCACCTGGCACTGTGCGTGCGCATGTCCACACAAGACTTTTACGACCAGGACACGTTCCCCTTTGAGGCGGCACTGGAGAAGTGGAAGGCCGTCAGCAGCAGGCGCGGGTACATGATGAACCGTTAACTAGCATGCAGCATCACCCGCAGGGGCTGCAACGAACCGCAGAGGTTGCGTTTGGCGGTTCTGGTTCGTTGCTTGGTAACTGGTCTGTGTTTGCTTGGGCTCTGCAACAGCAGTCGCCCATGCAACCGGGGTTCCTGTCAAAGCGTCCAAGTGCCCCCCGCTTCCTGGCGTGCAAGAGACACCTCTATGGAGAGATTGTGGTGTGCGCGTGTTGCGATATTCCCCAAACCCGGCGTTTGCACGAAATAAACTGTAACTCATGGGGGGGGGATCTGAGGGGGGCGTAGGCCCCTCCAGCGCCTTACAGATTCGGAATACTTTTATTCCCGCGACTAAAAACCTATTCCTCCATTCGGACTGGAAAATTGACGGGCAAAAATAAAAAAAACACTGTATGGGAGCTACACCGGGGACAAGTTAAATTGCCGGGACAGGCCCTTGAATTGGCCTGACAGGGACACGAATTGGCCTGACAGGGACACGAATTGGCCTGGCGGGGACATTCCGACAGTCAGGATTGGCCTGTTCGGGGTGTCGAATTAGGGAAGCACAGGAATTGTGCGACCGGGGCAGCCCAAAGATTTGCTCTCCCCGACCTTGTGCCCTACCCTCCTCGCCATGATGCTGTGGACATGGCAGCGCTTGCAGTCGTGTTTACAGCCAGCAAGTCAGGATACCTGTCGACCGTAAAATCGTCGACACGTCTGCGCTTCGAATGCTAATCCTCGTTTGTGGCAAATCTACCTGTTTTGACGATGCCATCAGTAAAAGAGGATTAAATGCAGGTATTAAAGCAGCTGTGATGCAAGGACGAGCGACCAATATACCGCTCGTCCACATCCATAGTGCGAAGGTTATTAGTATGTAAAAGAACATGTGCAATGGTTATTACTACAATTAGATTTTTTTTAAATGCTCTGTTTTAATTCGCGATTCGCGGACAATTACTGGAGCAATGCGTTTGTAGGCTACGCGTCATACATTTCGAACACCGCAGTTATTCGAAAACTCACCAGGTATTATTATAATGAATAATAGGAACAATCAAATAACGACGACTGCAGCGCTCAGCGCTGCAAATGATGTCGGGTTCTTTCGCCGTTCTCGGTCGAGCAACCGAGTATGTTGCACCGGCTTATGCTTGCTGCAAGAGCTCCTTGAACTGTATGTCAAAAACTTGCATGAGAATTTTATTAGATTTCTAGACATAAATTATTCTACATGAATGAATGCCATGGACTATAGGGTGTTTCGTATGCAGGATTCTATGGCATGATGAACGAGGAGCACAGACGAGAACGTAAGCGGAGTAGAAAACGGTCTCACCGGCAGCCAGGATGATTAGCATTCCAGCGAAATTTGCTGCAAAGGAAGTCGTGAAATTTGACAGTACGCGGTTGAACATCGCAGCACTGTAACAACCACACACACACACACACTAATGATAGATTGAAAGTTGATCGCACAGCACGATAAGGACCTTGATAAGGATTGAAGAATGACTGGTAGGCATTTTGTTCATTTGCAAAGCTAGTAGAAGGAGCTGTAATAAGCTCGACGACTTCGTACCACCAAGATCGAGGCGCGCGGCATTGACTAGGGAGAACCTCCGATAAGTGTCTTTTACGACTGACCACGGATTTGCAGCACAAATACGATTAGCGAAATTCTCCCTAGAGGTGCTTGTACGACACGGAAAAAAGTGACTTTTCAAAGAAATATCTAGGGCTGCTTGTACGACACGTTGTGAAATGACTTGCGAAGGTGATATAAAGGCGGGTGCAATTGGGCTGATTTCCTAACTCTCCACGCTCTTCAGAACTTTGCCATGTTCAAGCTACATCCTCGCAAATGTCCGGAACTGGGCTGCGTTGCTGCGTTGCTTCATCTAGCTCTCTTGCTGTCGCCGCTCAGCTGCAGGACACAAGATATTGATAGCTGTTCAGAAGGAATGCAAAAAAAGGCCCTTATCTCATTATACGAAGCCAGCGGAGGACCCTCATGGGTGAACAACGAGCTCTGGACAATCGATGCGCATTGCGTAAGGTCCCCGGGTCTGCGACCAGGAGTTCCAGATAATGTTGTGGTCCCGGATATCACTCTGCCACCTTTTTGCTGTTGGGCCGGCGTGGACTGCTGCCTGTCAGAGTCATACATCGCGAATTACACCGCATGCGGACAGTACCAGTGCAATTGCACTGTCGGCAAGGTGACCGGCCTTAACCTGGGACGGAATGGACTTAAGGGCCGACTTCAGGACGTGCTAAACGCCACAGTCCTGACCGGCCTGGCTTGCAGCCTTCGGATGGCCTTCCTTGGCGGCAATGGTACGTTGAGATGTTGTCTGCTGCAGCGGCTGTGGCAAGCACCGCGCAACCGCGCTTCAGCACCACTATTATCAACTCATCATCGGCCATAGTTTTCCGTACGTTCCGCGTGCTTCAAATCACCTCCTGTTGGGGACATGTATAGGCGAAGGGAGAATCCCGCATGCGGCGATATCAATCTGTCCGTCCACATGTATGTCTGGCAGCGCCGCAGTAATATTATTATGGTAGTATATTATGGTATATTATGGCAGTGATGATGCAGAGGGTGAATGAGGTAGCGGGGTGGACCGGTACGGCGGGGGAGCCAGTGGCACTCGTTCCAGATCGCCCATCGTCGTCCACTGCCTTGTTCGGTTGTGGTTCGGTTGCGGTCGTACCATTGATCCTAATCCTGGTCTTGACCGTGGCAATGGTGCGAGCACTAGAATGGAAAATTTAATAGTTTAAGAAATTGCAAATGGTTTGGCGTTGATTGTCCTGTTTTGTGTTGTAATCGGTTTTTCAGGGCTTAGGGTTTCGGATACTAAGGTTTTTTAGAGTTTAAGCACGGTGGTTATGGATGTGGCAGTAGCAGTGTCGGAAAATGGAGCTATTTTTGGGGGAGGTGATAATGGAGATATCTCCTTCCCATGTTTGTTTTTCAGCTGCCAGCTGTCAAACCCGCGCGACGTCCCCCCCCGCGCCAACACCCCAATCTCACCTTTTTCCATTTTTTTCCAGCCTTGCCATCCCCCACCCGGACTCCCCCCACCCTACCCCCCCACCACACACAGGCACACACATACACGCACAGACCCTGAGCCCCCCAACAACCCCGACATCCCCAGCCTGCCCCTCCTCCGCGTCCCTCCCCCCGCAACTACAGAGCTCACCGGAAAGATCCCGCAGGAAATATCCCAGCTAAGAGATATTCGTATCTTAGGGTTCAGTACCAACGGTAAGGGGGAGGGGGTTGGGGGGAAAGCTGGAAAGGAAAGGAAAGGGAAGCGAGAAAACTGCATATGCCGTACTGATTCAGCGGTTTTGCCGGCTGGCGAATGACGTAATGTGAAGTGAAAATGGAAAGAATGACTCATTCTGCTGACGTGTGTGTGGGGGTGGGGTGGGTGGGGTGGGGGGGTGGGGTGGGGGGGTTTGGGGGGGAAAAACACCTAGTGGGGGGTGTCACCAAGCCGTTCGGGAGGTCGGAGATTATGATTCCGCGTACTCGTACCCGCACACACGCATCCACGCCTATCCGCGATCTCAAACACACCCTTCACTTATCCGTACATCTTTTCCCGTACATCTTTCCCCTCTACACATACACCACGCGCGCGCTACCCCGCAGCCCTCACGGGAAGCATCCCTTCTTCCCTGGAGGATCTGAATCAGTTGGAGGAACTGGATCTGTCCAACAACCAACTAACTGGATCCGTACCTTCGAAATTGTGCGGCGGAACTGAACGGCCGAGCAATCTGAGAGATCTGGTTCTGTCCAACAACAATCTCACCGGGCGGTTGGTACTGCCGGACTGTGAGGCGCTCATTAACTTGGATGTGCAGGTTGGTTAGGCCGTTGGAGTTGGTTGGAGTTGGTTGGGGTTGGCTGAGAAGAAGGATTTTTCCCAGCGCGTTTCTGGCCAATTCGGATTTACATTCGGACATTCATACATACGCACACGTCCCCGCGTCTTCTCACCGACCATCCAAATTAACATGCGCACACGCAGACATACATACATACGTACATACATACACATGCACACATGAAAACACAGCCGCCTTGAGCACCCAGAGCAAATACACCCCAGCTCTACAAATCGTAACCGCACCACCTGCTCACGCTCTCTCTCAGGCACACGCACACGCACACGCACACGCACACGCACACGCTCTCTCTCACGCACACGCGCACGCACACGCACACGCACACGCACACGCACACGCACACGCACACGCACACGCACACACATACACATATCCACCTCCCCCACTAACCCCCCCCCCACTATCCCCGCGCAACCACGCACCCATCCCCTGCAGAACAACTTCCTTTCGGGACCCATCCTGGACATATCCTCCTATCGCCAGCTGCACATCCTGCGCCTGGGGAACAACCAGTTCAACGGCACCGTCAACTTTGACATGTTCGATCTGCGGCTGCTGGTGCTGCTGGACCTGGCATTGAACAAGTAAGAAGGGTAAATTTTGGGTTTTAGGGAATATAAAACCCTAAAACCCTAAAACCATGGATCTGTCACTGAACTTGTAAGGAGCGGAAAAGGAGGGGAAGGAGGGCCGAGGAGGGGAAGGACGGGAAGGAGGGGAGAAGGGGTGGGATGGGGAGTTGTGTTTCGAAAGTCAAAGCGACTGCAAGGAGACGGAGGAGGAGGAGGGGGGAAAAATGGTCCGAAGAGTGGTTGAGGTGGGTTTGCTGTACGCTCATGTCATCCTCTTCCCTCCGTCCACCCTTTTCCCCCCTACTACACACTCCTCCTCCCCGGCTTAAACTTTGGGGTCAGCTGGCGCTGCTTTGGTTGTCAAAAGGGGGGGATGACAACCCAGAGGGGATGACACCCCGCTTAGATTAGTTAACTCTTTTTTGGATGACTGTAACATTACTGTGATATGAGCACCTGCTTCGTCGCTCCTAAGGTCTCCGCCTTTCCTTACTCCCACCCTCCCCCAGTCGTTCCTCCTCCCGCCAACTTTTTCCACTGACTTCCTCCCCCTCAACCAACCCCCAACAAACACCCCCCAATCAATTCCACAAAAAAGCTTTTCTGGTCCACTGCCCAAGTTCGTTGGCAACAGCAGCCAGCTCACCATCGTACGACTATTCAACAATAGTTTTACGGGGCCCGTACACCCTGACGTGTTCACGGTGGGGACGCTTTCCACCTTCTCGGTTTACAACAACAAGCTCAGTGGCACCCTTCCGGAAAATATCGGGTATGTATGTTTGTATGTATGTATGGGGCCATCCGCGCCTGTGTGTTTCGTGTGTATGTGTGGTTTTCCGGTTTGAGGGGAAGGGCAAGGGGGGTAGGGGTTTTTTGCTTCCTAGGGAAAGTGTCACTTGGGAAAAGGAAAGGAGGAGGACGGGGAAAGACGTGACCTTGGAGCTATCTGCTTGTGTTGTACCTCTTTGCTATAAAATGTTAATAATGTTATATATATATAACATTATTAACACAGATTTAATAACAAGATTACATACATATAATCTATTTAAAAAGAAATTTTAACGCATACTTTATTTGCATATTTTATATGTGCTGAACTGATGTTTGATAATCCGCTGTAGCCTCGCCGTGCGCTAGCCACCCGAGGGACGTACTACCAGCACACAACCTTACCGAAGTTTCTAATAATCGGAGTAGTATGAAGATCCCATTCAGCAACAACTATCTGCAAACGGATAGTTTAAATAATTATCCTGTTGTTCAGAAAAGCAAAGAGAGGAGTTGTGTACGGATTGTGAACCTTACCCCCAAAGAGAGCCTGTTTCCCCCCTCCTCCCTTTCCCCCGCCGCATTTTTCATTCCTTCCGGCGCCAGTAACGCCCGCGGCATCTCGTCCTTGAATTTACGGGGTAACGAAATTTACGGCAAATTGCCCGAATCTTTGGCTTTGCTGGCATCAAACATCGGCACGGTAGGAAGCGTGTATGCGCGAGCGCATGTGTGTGTTTGTGTGTGTGCTTGTGTGTATGTGTGTGTATGTATGTATGTATGTATGTGTAATCTCTCGGGGTTCGTGAGGGGAAAGTGCCGGGGATGGCATCAATCGTACTTATGTTGTACTGTACGAATGTGTTTTCATGATCTTCGGAGCCGCGATGACGAGGTAGAAGGCGGTGTTGGTGTCGTACGAGGGGGGGGAATGAACTTGTACGGAGACACCACACGTCCTGCCACGCAAACACCTACATACCTACATACCTACGTACCTACATGTATATTTCGCTGCTTGAGCAAATCGGCCATCGGAGTACTTTTCGCATCATCATTGGAGTACTTTCCCCATACCGTTTTCAGGTGGATTTGTCATTTACACGAATGTCATGTTGCGGATACGACTTCGTGGAAGGTCAGGGGTACCGGTGAGCCCGGCAAGCTTGGTATGTATGTATGTATGACTTAGATTACACTGTGGGCCGCGAGAGCCGGGGGCCGAAGCCGAAACACAGCGCAAGGGTCGGGAGCACACAGCACAAGTCGTGTATATACATACATACATACATACATACATACATACATATACACACGATCCCCGCTGCGCTACCCCCCCACCTTTCCCCCGCCATTTTTTTACCCCACCGGCATATACATACATACACACACGTGCGCCACCAATACCAACACCACCGTCACTGACAATGATTTTTCCTGGTACGGCAATGGCGACGAGACAACAACAGATACTTCAACCTCAGCGCCCCGCGGCTGCCGTACTTCTTACGTCTAAGCGAACTCACCCGGCCTGTCTTGGACACGGACGTCAGCCTGACGAATATGAGGTACGACGGCAGACATTGCCGTACGCGTACGAGAGGGACTTTTAATCATATCGCAACTTGGACAGCACATTGTATGAGCCAGTGTTTACTTTAGATGTCTGATTTGCCCCGCGCGTGTGTGTGTGTGTGTGTGTGTCGGTGTGTTTCGGTGTGTGTGTGTGTGTGTGTGTTTTGTTCTATGCGCTCACCCTTCCTTTTACCCCCCGCCCCAAAAAGAAGCATTTGTAAGTATGTAGGAGGAGGGTTAGCATACACACACACACACACAAAACACACACGCAGCCCTTATCCCCGCCTCCCTCTCCCTCACCCCCCGGCCCCCATTCCTAGATGCCCCTTCGTGTTGGTTGACACCGCTGCCAGCCCCAGCGGGGCGGAGTTCATCACCTGGGCCTTGGATCCCCAGTACTTCCTGTACGAGGGGTGTGAGTGTATTGAGGTACGGCAATGGTTTCGGATTTTCTTTCTGTGTGTTTCCATGAACTGACTTGTGTACGAATGCGTGTCCTTGCATTGCTATTTGTGCTTGTGTGTGTGGTGTGTGTGGTGTTTTTCATCTGTTCATGTACGTATATGTACACGTACATCTACGCGCGCGTTGAGAGAGCGTGTACGTGCTCACGGAATGCTGCACGTCGCCCTTCTCGCCCTTTCCCACCTTATCCCTCCAAAACACATGTCGTACACCCCCAACTCCACCCAGCCCCACCCCCACCCAGGGCTACCACCCTGTTTGGACGCCTCACAGGAACGGAGTGCCCTCCATGGGGCCCTCCTTGGCGTGTTTCAGGACGGCTGACCCATGGTGTGTGTGTGTGTGTGTTTGTGTGTGTGTGTGTGTGTTTTGTTGATTGGAACTTTTGGGGGGAAGGGGGAGGGGGAGGAGGAGGGGAAAAGAGGGGTTTCGAACTGCGGGGATTAGCAAAGAAATGGGTTTCAGGGGGATGGGGATTGGGGCCGTTGTCTTGCCTCGACATCTTCTTTTCCTTCCCCCCTTCCTCCCCTTCCTCTCTGGGCCGGCGCCACACATACATACACACATACATACACACATGTCACGCAGGCACGAGCGCAATCCCTGGGCACTTGTTCTCATCGTACTTGGCGGGCTGCTGGTGGCGAGCTGGCTGACGTACTTGATGTGTTTCCGCCACGGGAAGAACGCCGCCATCGTGCGGGCTTTTCTCAACGTCTTGAAACGTGTTCAACCGGAGCCCAAGGGGGTGAAGGTGACTGTCGTGGTAACCGACATTGAAGGGTATTCTGGTGAGTGAGGTTTTCAGGGTTCCGTCGATGGACTGGGCAGTGTGATGTCTTAGTGTATTCGTGTCCTCCCGAAACACGGTCTTCGTTTCCTGTTTCCCCCCCCACGCACACAAACACAAACACGCACAATTTCCCTCCCCCCTCCCCCCTCCCCCCTCCCCCCTCCCTGCCGCCCTGATGGGGTCCCAGAGCTCATGAAAGAAACCCGATGCCAATGACAAACGCACTCAACCAGCATAACGGCATCATACGTCAGGCCCGTTGGGATAATTTTGGCTACACAGTGGAGCAAGAGGGGGACTCGTTCTCACTTGCGTTTTATGAGCCTCACGACGCGGTGGTGTTTTGTTTGCAGGTGAAAGGGGGGAAGGTGAAAGCGATGTGTGTGTGTTTGGGGGGGGGGAGGGTGTAGGTGGTTTGCGGGGGGTTTCGGAGGGTGCGTCCCCCTCCCGCCTTCCCTTCCTTCGCGTCAATCGCCTATGTTTCATCGTACAACTCCCCCTTCCCAAACACACATACACAGCGGCCCCTCACGGCCCCCCTCCCCTTTCCCCGGGGGGGGAAGTGCTTCGGCGGTCTTGTTCGCGGGGGCAGCTGGGCAGCAGCCCCCGACCAACCTCTAATACACACACATACACATCACACATGTACAGAATTACTCGCATCCCTCAGTTTTTGGAACCCACATTAGTAATGTAATGTGACATCACATACATACATACAAGCGCACACGGTTGCCACTCCCTCTCTCCGGTCCCCCCCCCAAACCCGCAGACTCAGCTAGCCCTCAACAAACAGACCTGGCCCGAGGGTTTGTTACCCAATGACGTGCGAGAGCAGGCCTTGAGGAGGAGAGGACGAGGTGGTGATGGTATGGAGGAGTATGGAGGGGGGGGGTTACGACGAAGTACAGACGATGGGGGGTTGGGAGGGGGTTGGGAGGGGCCCCGTGTGTGTGTATGTGTTGTTAAAATAATCCGCGCCGTGATATGGGAAAAGGCCGAAGTGGGTTCGAATTCGAATAATAATAATCCCCGGTGCGAGCCCCCCGCGCAATCACCAGCGACATGCGATAAGCCTTGTCCAGTAAAGACCGAGTACATGACAAATAAGAATGATATAGCTGCAGGAAGTTGTTCTAAGGAGATGTGTTTAACAGAAGCCAGCTCGTGAAAATATTTCAAGAGCCCGTATAAGTGTGCGGCGCTGTAGTGGGTGCTGTTGGGCGGCTAAAACACACACTATCCACCCCTACCGAGGGCATCTAGACCCAAATAGTCCCATGAAATAGATAGACCCTGAAACCTACTTTCGTGCCCTAACAAGTTAGCGGATGAAGCAAAGGGGGGGGGGTTGTGATACCGCAGCACGTGCGGCACATGCGAGCCGACGACAAGCAGAGGGCAGGTAGGGCTCTCCCCCCCCCTCTCCCCGGGGGGCGGGGAAGGGGATAGGGGACCGGACCGGCACAAGGAGCTCTTCCCGTGAAAGCGGAAGGTTACACCTGACCTTTCCCCCATCTGTCCATCTGTCCCACCCGTCTGTTTATCTGTCATGCTGTACGGCAGTCCCAAGCCTGTTGAACGTCATTTCGACGGTCGTCAGCAACCTGTCTCAGTCGCTCTTTGGCGGCCGAGTCGGTTTGTCAGAGCAGCAGGTTGGAAGGGGACTGGGGGACAGGAGGGGGGCATGTACGGAAATTCGGTAACCTGTACGGCACGTGTATGGCATTTTTGAAAATTTCTCTGTCTCTCTCCTACCATCTGAAATCTCCTTTTCGCTCAAGCAGAGCATTTTTGCTGCTCTTTATTTACCCTGTCTGAAGTATTCGAACATTGAGTCGCGTTCACTTTCCGACCGCCATCTGGGCGATTGATTCCCGAATGCATTTGCGACATTGCCATTAATGTTAACTTTCGTATATTATGTTAAAAATTATAATAATAATAATAAAACATGTTCAAGGGGGATTCGAACCATGACCTCGGCGGGCCCCCCTGCCTGACGGGTGTTCCCTCGACGATGCAGCCGAGTGAGCTCTCTTCGGAGGAAAACCCGGCGGCTGGCACCCGGCAGGTGCGGGAGAGGGGGACTGTGCATGTGTTTTATGTGTGTATGTGTGCGTGTTTTAAGTATGGGCGGGCTGTGTGCAAAAATGTGTGTGATTTCGTGTTTCGAATCGTGGGAAGGTGATAACAACGAGGATGGTGTATGTGTGTATGTGTGTGATCAACACGCCGAGGGGAAGGAGAGAGAGAGTAATCTCCTCAGCACAGTCCCTTAAAGAGCCTCATACCTTCTCCCTTTCCCCCCAACACAAGAGCATCCGTCTATTTCTGCTTCGTCGTAACCCCCCAACACACATACATACATATATACATGCATGCATATGTCGGGGCCACCCGAAAAACACGCAGCTCTTCCCATCCCGCACTAAAACCTCGAACTCCCCTTTCCTCCACAGAGCAGCACAGCTGCAGGTACGACAGTTTCGGTTTTGGGAGCCTCGGGATTACGATTGCCGTACACAGAAGCTGAAGGAATTGCTGCAGGAGGAGGTGATGTTGGCGGCGGCGGTCGGCGCTCTTCCAGCAACTCGTCCCACCGTTCTGCCGTACTTTTCAACGGGCTACGTGTACGGATGGGTGTGGCTACGGGCACGCTGCCTCCGGGGTGCAGCGTCAAAGGCTCTGCGGTGATGGAACTGGCCAAGAGTGAGTCTTGTACGGCAGGTAGTTGTAGGGGGTTTAGGGGTTTTAGGGGTTTGGGTTTGTTGGCCGGGGGGAAGGAAATTAGGAGGAGGAGTACCGCGCGCTGGTCGTTGTTCTGTTTACAGTTGTTGCTGCTGTTAATGGTGGCGATTGTGTGGTGGGTTCGAGAGGTAGAGGTGACGAGTAGGGTAAGAGGGATATGAGGGGGGGGGCATGCATTCGGGGGGGGGGAGAATGTCCGGGGCGGGTTATCCCTCCGTCGCTCCCCCCCCCCCTTCTCCCTGGCAGCAGCTTCAATCGTGTGTGGTTCGTCTTTCCCCCCCTTCTCCCCCCCTTCCCTGCCCCCCCCGACTGGTTAGTTATGCTGTCTTTCCTCGTCATCAGCTTCACTCGCTCGTGGTTCGTCTTCCCCTTCCCGCCCCGCCCGCGCCCTGTGTAGTGGTGTCCGATATGGCCAATGGTGGCCAAATCTTGATGGACGAGACCACCTTCAAGAGCATTAAGGAGAGGATGGAGGTGCGCTGTGTTGGGGGGTGTGGGTGTATGCATGACCGTGTCTATGTGTGCGGTGTATGTGAAATGAAGGCTGCGAGGGTCCGTGCGTATGTATGTATGTGTGTATGTGTGTATGTATGTATGTATGCGTCAGTGCATGTATGCGTCAGTGCATTTTGTACATAAAAAGTAGGGTGTATCGACGTGTAGTCCCTTTTCTCCTTGTGCATACAGACAGACAGACAGACAGACAGACAGACCCCACCCTTCATCATTAACCCCGCACCACAACCATCAGGAATTCGGTGCTGTCGACCAAAACGGAATGAATTACAAGAAGCTGAACTCCATCCAGCCGCCGTGCTATCCTACCTGTATCAAGTAAGTGCCATACCGGGTCCCGTACCCCTTCCAAAACACTTGCAGTACACCACTTGTTGTAAACCACTATCACCAACACCATTACGACTTGCGCTACGCTCTCTCTCCCTCTCTTGCCGTCCTCTTGGCAAGGCCAACCCACCACCTGTTCGGTGCCCCGACTGCTTTTCACCAGCACCACCGAAACCCCCTTTCTCCATCACCACCACCACCACCACCACCACCACCACCATGACCGTCATCTTATGTGTCACACTTTTGGAATTCCCCAAACCCGCCCCCTTTCCGGTCGGGACGACGGTTACTTTTTTTTGCTTTCTGCATCATATAACGGTATAACGGCTTAACGGTATAACGGTCTCTCCTTTTCATTCCCCGCGTCTCTCTTCCCCCTTTTTGCCCGCACTACTTACATTCTTTCTTTCTCCCTTTCGTTATCTACTTATTTATTTAATTATTATTATTTATTTATTTGTTATTTATTTATTTAATTAAATATCTAATTTAATTATTTCTATCCTGCTTCCTTCCAAAGGCGCAGACGGATCCGCAACCCTGATGATGCGCTCTTGCTGGACATGGGGGAGTACTCGTACTGCCCCGGGGCGAAGAGGTTACCGTTATTTCAGTTTGAGCCAACTACCGCAACCGCCACGGCTACCACTCCGACGGCGGCGGCGGCGGCGGCGGCGGCGGAGGCGGCGGCGGCGGCTGGGACAGGGTCGGCACCATCCACACCACAGGTAGCGTGTCCGTATGCATGTATGTGTGTATGTACGGATGTCTGTATGTGGTCTTGTGGTCCTTCTCGTCGTGCGTCAGGCGCGGCTCAGCCCGAAGGGGCGAAGGATGAAAAAAAAAGCCATAAAACCCTAAAACCCTAGAACACCAAAAAATAAAACCCTAAACCCCGCGGTCCACCTCTTGTCCCACTGCTAGTTGTCGCTTTCCTTACACCCACACCCACACCCACACCCACACCCACACCCACACCCACACCCACACCCACACCCACACCCACACCCACACCCACACCCACACCCACACCCACACCCACACCCACACCCACACCCACACCCACACCCACACGGCTATCCTGCTTCCTCCTGATTGATGGATTGACTGATTCAATGTCGAAGCTTATGTTTCTATGAATGTACGGATGTACGGATGGGTGCGTACTGCAGGCTGCCATGCGCCGTACTAACGGTACTATCGTAGCGGTCATTCGGGTTTTCCAGATCCTCTCTCCCTCCTTGGTGGGGCGGGCCAAGGTATTTGGAAACAAGTTGGCTCTGAGGGACGAGTGGCGCTGCAGCGACGACCCGTACCTTGCGGCACCTGGTGAGCAGTTGTGACCGTTAAGAGTAAAGAAGGCGAATGCGGGAGGATGGAGAGGGACTTGGACGAGCGCGCGGGGGGTAGATGCTTCGGCCTGGAGAATCTGGAGACGCGCGCGCGTGTGTGTGTATGTATGTGTGTGTGTATGTACGGCACGTGTGTGCTCTTCATGCGGTGGTAATAACGATAATCGTGAGTGCAAAACGTGGCACGGTTGTGGTACGTGTGGTGGTACGGATTTTTGTGCGTGCGAGTGGGTTATATGGATATGTTGCAAATGACCGTTGTGCGCGAGAAAAACCCTAAACCCTAAACCTTAAAAACCGCTTAATTCAGTGCCCCGTGTTTGAAGACAACGTGCAAGTTTAAAAACTACCCCTACCTTGCCTGAAATTGTTGTATTATTGTATTACGGCTGCGGAAAGTGCGTAGTAACGATCGGTGAGTATCGGAGATTCATAATACGCCGTCGGGGATGCATTTCCACATTTACCCGGCAGGAGTTTCATCTGGATGATCTTGCTCAAATCTAAACCCGCGGCTTTCCCCCTCGACCGTGCCTCCTTCCCCCCTCCCCCGGCTGTCCTTGTGTTCGTGTGTGCGACACACACACATACACACACATACACATACACATACACACACACATACACACACATACACACATACACACACATACACACATACACACACACACACATACACACACATACACACACATACACACACATACACATACACACACATACACACACATACACACACACATACACACACACACATACACACACATACACACACATACACACACATACACACACATACACATACACACACATACACACATACACACATACACACACATACATACACACACACCCTACCTATTGCCCCTATAGGCACCCTCAAGGTTCCGTTGGGTCCCGCCGACATCGTTGCACCGAATCCAACCTCGATGCCGTACATCACCATGGCCTTTGCTATTGTGGAGGGGGCCAAGGAATTTGCCGGGAAGCACCGGCAAGATGTACAACGAGTTAGTGACATGTGTACGGCGTGTATTCGTGCCTGTCTGCGGGTGGTGTGCGGCGGTTACATGTGCAGAAGTCAGGACGGTGAGCTCAAGTACATGGTGGCTTTTGCATGTCCGGAGGTAGGTTTGGAAGGGGGGTTATTTGGGGTTTTAGTTTTTTATATTGGGGGGGGGGGGTAGCGGAGAGGGGGGCAGCGGGGGTGTGGGGTTACTGGCGGGCGGAAGGTGGAGGGGGGACCCGGGGGGTTCTCAGGAGGGGAAAAATCTGGATCCTGAATCATACCTGGGGATATTTTTGATTTTGAATTGTTTTCAAATGTTTTAAAATATTTTTGCCCTTCCCGGGTCCCCGAATCTCAGGAGACGAAGCTTCTGCACCTTATCTCCGGGTTTTGGAAAAGAGGAGGGGGCCACTGTTTGCACCCTATCTATGATTTTTTTTAATAATTTTGCACACATCCCCACCGTTCCCGTGCTCCTCCAAACACACACACACACACACACTTTCTCCTGACTCCTATCTTCCCCCCTCCTTCCCCCCCTTCTCCCCCGGCCCCCTATTCCTCTTAGTCCGCAGTGGAGTGGGCTGTGCTGCTCCAGGACGTGATGCTCTATGTGAAGTGGCCCGAGGTGCGCGGGTTTGGAGGGGGGAATAGGGTGGTGTGGGGGTTTGGTTTGTGTTTTTTGGGTAGACGGGGCGGTCCTTCTGTGGTTACAGTGAAAACGGGTGGACCACTGTCCCGCCCGCTTCCCCCCGCTCCTCACACGTGTCGTTTTTGTCGTTCCCACCAACCACCAACAAACCAACCGAACCATCCAACTTGGTTCCCCGTCCTTCGGGTTGATCTCTCCCCAGGCGGCTCTAAAGTACTGGGGCCGGGAAACGTACGACGAACGGGGACGACTTGTGTTCCGAGGACCTCGGTGGGTTTTAGGGTTTTAGGTTTTTAGCACCGCTTTCTTCTCCCGTCCCTCGCCCCTTCTCGTCGGCTGCTGACTGCAACTATACTATCTACAGCAGTCTCCCTCCTTTAAACTCCTACATGTGTGTTTTCGTGTGTGTGTATGTCTGTATTACATATTATAGATCCGGGCTTGACGCGGGCCAGGAGCGCCTTACGGGATTCCCGCCAGTAATTTGGGGTTTCGGAGTTTCGGGTGCTGCTGTTGGTGTCCTCTGTTCCTCCCGCGCCGCTTACATACATACATACGCACATACACACACAAGCACGCAAACACACAGTTTCCTTTCCCCCCTTTCTTTCTCTTGAAAGAGAGGGGGGTCAACCCCGAAGGGCTTTTAACTTCACCTCGGCTTATCGTGGTGATGTGAGAGCTCTAGATCTCCACCTCTCTGCCACCTTACTTCTCCATCTTCCCCTTCATCCATACACCGCCCCTCACTTCCCTCCCCCCTTCCCCCTCCCCCCTCGCCCTCACCCCTCCCCCCCGCGTTCGAGGTACTCTTCAGAATGAAGATCGGGCTGTGTGAGGGCTGCCCTCGGTCCATCACCCCGGACCACGTGGGGCGGGCGGGTACGTGTGACTGTACGTACGTCTGTCTGACCTCAGGCACCTTACCCCCCCCCCATCTCAAAGCCCGGCTGATTGCCAGGGTCGTACATGTACGTCTGTCTGTGTTGTGCCTGTCCCGCTGGCTATCAATCTGTCTGTCATTCTATCTGTCTGCCTGTCAATCTGTCTGTATGACTCTGTCGCGCTGTCTGTATCTTTCAGTCAGCCAGTCTATTTGTCTGTCTGTCTGTCCGTCACTCTGTCACTCAGCTCTGCCAGCATGTCTGTCGGCGACTCTCTCGCACACTTAAGAAGCGGGTCGCACTGTCCCGTCCGAACCCCACATCGCCCCGCAGACCCTGCCCGTTGACGTGTGTGTTTTCCGCCATCACCCCACCACCACTCGACACGATTTTCTCCCTCCTCTTAAACCCCTAAAACCCTCTCTCCCCCCACTCCCCCCACTCGTTCCCCCTTCAGACTATCACGGCGCCTCCGTCAACCAGGCGGCGAGGTACATGGACGCCGCGGCGCACGGGGGCATGGTGGTTGTGGAGGTGGGGGTGGGGGGGAGAAGAGATTGGGTGTGATGACGGGTGTGGCCAGGTTGTGTTGTGTATGATGCGTGGGACAGGGGGGCATATCTTCACCCTGCGGCCGCTACCTGGCGAAACCCTGCCTTACCCGGTATTTCGGGGCACCCTCATCCAGTCACACTAGTCAACTTCTCAGTGGATCGCTCAGGTTCCGCACCCACCACCAGCATCCAACGGAATCTGCCCGGGTCGTCAGCGGCCCAACCCCATTCCTGGACGGCTCGCAGGTTAGCTTTATACCAGGTCACCACCGTCCATTACTTAGGGGCATTTTACCTTCCACCATCGGAAGGAATATCGACCCTGACAGGTCTCGATCCCGGGATCTCCCGGGGGCAATGGTAGCGCGTTACCTGTAGTGCCTCACCTTGTGTGGTTGTAATTGTGTATGTATGTATGTATGTATGTATGTATGTATGTATGTGTGTATGCTTGTATACCCTGTTGACTCCTGCCCCACCCGTTCTGCCTACCACCCACCCACAGAGCCTCTTCACGTTCCCTGCGCCGTAACTTATCAATTCCTGTTCCTCTGTTTCCCTTCGGCGGGCCCATCTTCACGCACATACATACATACACACATACTGCAACCGCCACCTCAGGAGGGCCTTGCGCTGAAGGTCATGGACAAATGGCGCGCGGTGGCGGCAGCGGCAACGGTGACGGCAGCCCCCGGCTCAAGTCGTACAAGCATTGAGCCTGCGTTTGCATCGGCGAGCGCACCTGCCGCCGATGCGGCTAGCAGTGGCAGCAACGGCGCCGGTTCCGCTGCCGTACGTCCACCGCCGCCGCCGGGGCCGTCGCGCGGCAATCCTGGGAGGTGTCGGATGGTACAGGAGCCGGAGATACTCAACGGCGCCGCCGTGACCGTGGCGACGGCGACGGAGAGGGGCGACGCCGCCGCCGACGTTGACGGCGCCGTCGTCGCTTCTGACCCCGCTGACGTGACAGCAGCCCCCAACATCTCTTCACCTGACGGCTCCGGGGCGGCTCGTCCTGGCGGCAGATGTCTCTCCGACGCTGGCGCCGCCGCCGACACCGCCGCTGCGGCCGTCGGGATCAGCCTGGCGCCGTCACCGTCACCGTCGCCGCAGCCGCCGTCGTTGATGCCGCTATCCCTTCCCAACGAAAGAGAGCGAGAGCAGGAGCTGGAGATTCAGTCCGCGGCCGCGGCGTCCGCGGCGGCGGCGGCGGCGGCGGTGGCGGCGGTGGCGGTACATGAGGACGGTTCCCCAGAGGCCCCCAGACACGATGTCCGCGTCCTGGCGTTTCGGCTCGGCACTTACCGCTTCAAGGGTAGTCCGAATTTGATTCCGATGGCATATCTGGTTCTGGAGCAACTGTCGGACCGGATATTCCCTGAGGAACCGCCGAAGGCGAGAGGGGCATGCGGGCGGGGGAAGGATTGGATGGCGAGGGGGGAGTGATGGCGGGCATTGGCAGTGTCGGCTTTGTGTTGTTTGGGTCACGTAGCCGCTGTAAGGGAGAAAGAAGGGATGGCGGCGGAGGGGGGGGAGGAGAGAAACGTGGGCGTGTGTGTTTGGGTTGGAATGTGGCGGGTTTGAATTTGTGGCTGTGTAGCGGCGTCGGGGTATGTGCTGATACGACCCCTGATACGGCGCACAGTTAATTTAATAATATTATTTATTTTAAATACTTTACATATTAACTATGTATTTACTATATGATTTATCATTATTAAATTTTTAAGATGTTCTTTTTTCTTCCTCTTCTTTCTGCAAGTTCGTCGTCGTGTGCACAGACGAATATCCACACGCCCCAGGTTTCCACCTCCTCCTTTTTTCCTGGAGGGCAGCATACACGTACATACATACACACATACATACATACATGGTTTAGTGACGGTAAGGGGGAGGCGCCGCGCGGGCTACATTCCTCCCCCTACGGTATTCTGGAGGGTCTAGGAGCTATGTGTCGTGGCAACGCTATCGCTTTTGTGGTTTCGCCGGTCTACGCCGTCGCAGGACGTTTTCCCTTCTCCCCTTTTCTATTGAACCCTTTTTCCCTTTCAACCCCCCTAAAACCCAGGGAAAGGGCGTGAAGGTGGAGCACGCGAGCGGTCTCCTGGACGGGTGCAACGTCCGTCTGCCCGACCTGGTCTCACCCCTTAAGGCCACCAGCGGTGTCAACGGCCTTCGTGGAGCCCAACCGACCACACCGCTTGACGCCGCCGCCAACAGTTCCTCCCTCAACAACAGCCGCTCTCAACACCCTGATGTCGCGCCGTAAGCAACAGCAGCGGCGGTACTGGAGGTGTGAATCCGCCCGCCACGCCGACGGAGGCGGACGGAGATAAAGGCAACATGAGCCCCAACTCCCGAAGTTTGGCAACGACGCGGATTGGCTGCGGCGCCGGCGTCGGCCCCAGCGGCCCTGAGCCTGTTTCGTTGGATAGCGGCGTGGCGGCGGCGGCGGCGGCGGCGGCCCGGGCAGAGAGCGCTCTGGCGGCGACGGTGGCAGTGGCCGTTCCGAGTGATGCTCATCCCGAACCGATGTGCCTATAACCGGCGGCGGTGGCGGCGGCTTCACATCCGACCATGGACGTCATGCCCCGGCCATCAACACTTCGCTTTATGTCCGGCCCCGACGATCCGCCTTCTGTAAGTCGCAAGCCCAGTTCCGCTGTAGCAGCTGTACGGCAGCTGTACGGCAGCAGCAGCTGCAGTTTCTGTGCTACCGCCCGAGCCGAACGTGGGTGATGAGCCCACGTTGCCTCAGTACGAACCTCTCAGGAAATATGGTGTATGAACCTCGTTCAGTGGAGATGTACGTTGCGACAAAGCTATCATACACTAACTGAGCAGGTCGCGTGACAATGTTGTGTAACACGAGCGCTTACGTCGAGGGTCATAAGCGCATGTTCACACACAGCACACGGCATATCCAACAGGGATGGCGTGGTGGGATTTGTTTTCCTTTCCCTTCCTCGCCCTTCCACGCGTTGACTCCCCGGACAACACGATGCGCTGCACAGAACGCTGCAATTTGGAAGACAGAAAAATATTAGGTTTTGTTTGCGGAGATACGCAATTGGTGCCTTTAATTTTTTGTGTTTCGTTTTTGAGTTTCCCGTTCGCAACGGATTTTTCGTGATATATCGTAAGCTTAGTTCCATGGTGTCAATTATTGGGTTGGACGTTGGTGTGGGAGAGGCAAGGGATCCATGTCTCTCTTTAACCCGATGAATTAGCATCTTCTCCTCCACGGCAGATTTCGACAACCTGGCATTTTCCCGCTACTCGCGGCCCACACGTGGACCCTGCTATCACACTGGCAAGACCACCGTCGTAGATGGTCCCGCCAGTACTTCACCCGCCTCCTCAATCTATATAGCGCCCCTCCAGCTTGTTCGCAAAAAGCGTTCCATGGACATTGTACTTCTGCCACATGGTTTAGTGCCTCTTACCTCCCTTCCCCCCTCTTACCTCCCTTCCCCCCTCTTACCTCCCTCCCCCCTCTTACCTCCCTTCCCCCTCTTACCTCCCTCCCCCTCTTACCTCCCTCCCCCCTCTTACCTCCCTTCCCCCTCTTACCTCCCTCCCCCCTCTCACCTCCCTTCCCCCTCTTCCTCCCTCCCCCCTCCCTCCCCCCTCCCTCCAGCCTCCATTATCTTCCCACCTGCAAATGTCCGGCTGGCTCTTGTAGTCGTACCGGCCGCTGTCGTCGGAGCCGTTGCAAATGTGGTCAGGGTCGTAGCGGTCCAGGAAACCTGAAGCGAGGAGGGAGGTGTGAATGAAAAAATACAGAAAGGTGCTGGTGGTGGTGGCGGTGTGTGGGGGGAGCCAGCAGTATACGCGAGGAGGCCAACAGTAGCAGTAGCAGTAGCAGTAACACTAGCAGTAGCACTAGCAGTAGAAGAAGGTACTAGACATAGAATAAAAAACAGAGGAAAGGAACGGGAAGAAGACGTGACTCAGAAGATCGAGGTGGCGCAGGTCGACATGGCTGGCGGACCCTCTCCCAACCACCTTCCGGCATATTCCACCCCCCTGTCGTACCATTCCCATCTCCCCACCACCACATCCCTCCGAGCCGTCCACAGGGTCCGGGGCCCCTCAACACATACATACATACGTACATACATACATACGTACATACACAAGTATATAAATACGTCCATACATGCGTGCATACATACAAACACACACAGATCTTCCAAGCTCCCCTAAACCCACCGAAAGGTCCGTAATCCAGTGTCACTCCCACCACGCTCATGTTGTCAGTGTTGAGCACCCCGTGACACCAGCCCACTCACTGCCAGGCGGCGACAAGTGAGGCAGTGCTGCGGGTCACCTGTTCGAGGGCAGATCAGGGGGAGGGGGTTGAACGGGGGTGGTAGGGACGGATGTGAGCGAAGAGCGGACGAGGGGGGAATCTGATGGAGACACCCACGGCGGTGGGGGCATCGTTGGCATCGTGCATAATGCTTCATAAGGCGGGTTTCTGGTTCAGCTAATATGTTAATTACATCTTTGACAAGGGCAAAAATCAAATCACGTATTAGTATTTTTCATAATACAGCTAATGCTGAATCGGTTGTGGATAGGACAGGGCTGGAGTAGCGTCGGAGATGACGTCATCCTGATGGGAGGCCCATATGTCGGGGAAGTATGTACGGATGGTGTGGTGCAGCAAGGTGGGCAGCATGCCCGCCTCCTGACCCGCAGATGAGCCTCGACGACCTGGAGTTTGAGATAGGTGTGTAGAGGGAAGGTGAAAGGAGGAAGGGCGATGGGTGTTCGGTACGTGTACGCCGTGTGTGCACGACAAGTTCGACATGTAGCATGTTAAGAGTGTTGTAGTAAGTCAGCGTTACCCATTGGCACTAATGAGTTCTAGTCAGCCGCAGGCGAGGCAGAGCCAAGGGATGTGACATCCCTTGGCTTCGTGACAGTCACGAAAGGACAGTGGTGACGGTGGTGGTGAAAATTAAAGCAAGTTTTGACCATAAAAGGTATCTTTGTAATTTAGTTTTTAAATTGGGTGAAGCCTTTCAGAGACGTATGGTGAAGTGGCAAGCTTGAGAACGGCGGCAGAGACACCGGCAAAGTATGAAATGAATTGTTGAAAAGAGAAAAGATCAGAAAGGAATTAAAAGAAAAGAAAAATTAAAGGAAATGAAATAAGGCAAATGGAATGGCATCAGAGAATGTTATGTTATGTTATGTTACGTTATGTTGGGTTGGGTTGGGTTGGGTTGGGTTGGTGTTTTGTCGGTGTTGAATTTTCACAAAACAGTTGGTTGCCTCGCAGAGGACCCGTCGGGTGGCCCAGCCGCCCACTCAGGCATGCGATCCGTCTGCCGCCCGCAGCTATCCGTTTTCGCTGCTCAGGTTACTGCCTCACGCGGTCCCGGATTAATCATCAACTACGACCACCTCCCGTCAGGGAGATGCCGTTGTCGACTGTAGGCTCAGAACGGACACGCCATCGACGCAGGAGAACTGGACCGACGGTATCATGCGAAACTTCCATCCATCAGCCCCCGCTCGGGTGACAGGGAGACGCAACATTCCCCGGCATGATTCGAACTCATGGCCTTGACTTTACGCCAAGGCCACGACCCAATGGACATGTTAAAATATAACTATTATAATATTATATAGTAGCAAACAGTACAACCAATTCCTTACACGCGAAATGTCGGTAGAGCAGAACAAAAACAGAGATCATCCAACATGCAACAAGAAAGATATCATGGAACGTTGGTGCGATTGCATTTTGCGTACATGACACATGCAAAGCCTGCTATAACGTTAAGGTATAGGTATATTTTGAGCTGGCGAAGAAAACAGTGGCTATTTACTGCAATATAAAATATACGACCGCCAAGGTTGCTTAGTTCTGGTGCGTGTTAGCTCTCTTACTTTTCGGTGTTTCCTTTGCTTCTTAATCCCTGCTTTGTGTATATTACAGCCCCAGTGGGCAGTGATGTGCATGGCGTGTAACGGAATGTTTGCAGAAAAGCCTTCTCGTTCAGTTTCGTGAGGTGTACCGCGTTAAGCCATATCATATGCTGCACATAACATTGTCCCAAACTGGACAGTACATGTGTCGTACTATGCATACCACCTGTAAAGGCATCTACGGGCTTGAAGATCTCGAACGACCCGAATCGCAAAAAGGTTGGCGCGATACGTGTGATGATCGTTGCCTTCTCCAGAATGGCGTTACCGCCATAAAACACGTCACGCACGACTCGGGTGTCTGACGTAACGCACGTGCCGGCCCGTGTGGTTGGCACTCCCTGCAGTCGGTTACGGCCCGGTAAATGGAGATGAACAAAATAATTCAACAAAATTCGAACATGGAAGTCGTTAGCAGCGTTTAGTTTTTTGATGCCCACACGACAGTACTGTCGTGTACTGTACGACTAGTCGTACAGCATAATTTTCATGCACATATCATTTTTTCACGTTGAAGTTGAAGCAGTTACCTTGAGCCACACGAGGACAAAACCACAGCCAACACGGGTAATACATGACGGAAAGCATCAACCCAGACACGTGACCAGCAATTTCCGGTCTAGATGCGATATGAGTTAAGGACAGCCCTTCTCCCTTTCTCCCCCCGTCCTTCCCTCCCCCTCTCTCTCTCTCTTCCCTCCCGTTCCCTCCCAACGGACCAGATGATACATGGCCTCGCTACAAAGGAACTCTCGAAGGGAGGAACGGAGAACCTTGCGACCATCGGCCTGGGCAGGAAGGGGGGCAGGAAGGTGGGCAGGAAGGGGGCCGGCCAGCTTATGAAGATCCGGAAACGGAAAGCATGCAGAATCTTGTTAGGACATTCAGGCTTTTTGACGGCCGTTGCTTTCTTCGGAAAGGCTTCCCGCTTCCAGGGAGATGTGGGGTACGACATCATTGAAGGTGCCGACGAGTAGAAACCAGCTCAACGGTTGAAAGTGTTTCTGCTAAAAGATAGAGCAAGAGACACAAAGTGAGATGCACAGCGAGGCGTAGATAGATATTAGATACTTAGGTAAGAGATAGAGCCCCAGTTTCGGATTCTGACCATGATATGGACTCTGACTCCAGGTTTAGAGGAAACAATAAAAAGTCCGACAAAGCGAGGCATTGAGGCACGGGGCATCCCATGGAAAGAAGTGGATTTCAATCAACAATGGGGAATCCGTGCGGGGCAGCGCCCGCCGGCCCCGTGCCGGTGCCCTAGGCCCACGCGTGCCACAAAACACATAGTCATCGTACAATTGCCCTACCTGTCGGCTGTACGGCGTCTTCCCGGCGCCCTTGAACTGCAGCTCCCACCGCTCGCCACGACTATTCACCACCTGCAGTTGTACGGCACCGGTAATGCCGTGTACGGCAAACGGAGGGCATCACATACAAGAGTATTACACCAGTGCTTGGTATGCATATCTCCAACCACCTCTCCCCTCCCTCCGCACATATCAAATGTACATTGGACATCAAATGTACGACAGCGTACGACATATACGGCATATGCGTTCAGGAATGAATTCATTAACATCCTCTCACTCACCTCCCCTAGGTACATGGCCGCTCCATCCCCCAGCTGCCCACTGAAGTAGCCGAACTGGTGGCCGCAGTAGCAGTGCGCTGCGGGTTCAGCCCCCGGCAGTAGCTTGTTCCCACAGAAATACTCGGCAAAGTCGGGCCGGTCGATCTGGGTCAGGTCAAAATAATGTGTGTGGGGTGGGGGAGGGGCCCGACAGGTCTAGCTCATGGAGGAGGCGGCCTAGAGCAGTGTTTTTCTTTTCAATTTTGCCGGTGAATTTTCCAGTCCGAACGGAGGAATTGGTTTTTAGTCGCGGGAATAAAAGTATTCCGAATCTGTAAGGCGCTGGGGGGGGGCTCCGCCCCCCCCAGACTCCCCCGATGAGTTACAGTTTACTTCGTGCAAACGCCATGGGGAATGCCGCAACACGCGCACACCACAATCTCTCAAACACTGATCGAATAGAGTTCGTTCACCATCGTTCGTCTTGCATCATGTTGAAAGATAACACTACACGACTTTCCGGGTTGCAAAAGTAATGATGCATAGCAGCAATGGACCGGAACCACCAAGCGCAGCCTGTTTCCTGGACCATCGCGATTGTCTCCATATGACGAACATTGATGTTTGGCCCTCTCGCTGTTGACAACCGGAGTGGCGTCATTGTCGTCGGCTGGCTGCAGCATTGCGCCCACATTCCCTACGACCTCTATACCGTCTTTATTAACATCGCTAATGGCTTCAGTGATTTTTTATATCTGCTTTAATGACCTAACACGCTTTGGGAGCTTCGGGTCAATGTTTTGCAGCGTTTGGTCCGGTCAGAAACAGTCCGATTCCTCGTTGACTTTCGGGCGTGAGCTTCCTAGCAGTATCCATGGCATTAAAGTACTATGATATGGTTAACATGTATGTCTCCTGTGAGATTATAGCGGCTTTGGCACGGACAGTCCATTTTTGGCTGGAGGAATGAACTTGCACGGTCGGAACATTATTTATTCTTAACTTTCAGGACCACGAACATTTTTTTATTCCGAATTCGGAATATATTCCGCAAAAAAATAACTCTGGCCTAGAGCTTCACCAGGGAAGCAAGTATGAAATAAATTGCGTAAAGTTCCCTTTATAAAGCAAGGGTTTGTTGTTAAAGCAAGGATAAGGCCAGCAGCAACGCAGGACAGCTAAGCGTCTCGCGTGTCCACACGGTTTCTGTTATCATTTAACAAGTATTTCATCAGTCGGGGTAAATCGCGAGGGTGACCCATGGGGCATCCAGTGCGGACTAACCTGTCCGTCCCGCCAATCAAGGGAAGTTAAATATACAGCATGGTCCCCTCTCCCTTTCCGTCATTAAGCTCTTCCTGGCCGAGGCCTCCCTGGTCGCTATCTCGAAGGAGACCATGCGGCGAAGAAAGCAATCGCACCGTCATCCACGGCGGGGGAGCTGCCCTCAGGGCCGTCAGCCGCACTCCTAAATGATACAAGAGATACTCACCGCTTTTAGCAGGGCTTAGGGTTTGTCGCCGGCACTCCACTTTTCCTAAATTTCTGAAGGTGCCTAAGGTAGGTGAAACAAAATGTTTGACTTCCGTTGAAAGTCAACCCACAAACCGAACTTTTGGAAGCAGGGCGACGGGCTATGTTCGGTCTTAGTAATCGGTTGGATGAGAACAGGGTGTGGGCTCCTGCCGTTCGGCTTCAAGCGTTCGACACCCAGGTCCGTTCGGTTCTCTGTTATGGTGCTGAGGTCTGGGGTCCTGATAGGATTGTCTCCGTCCTGCGGCTAGGTAAAGGTGTTTTACCCGCTGGTAAGTCATATTTTGATTTGGCTTTGGAAGATGGTATGGTCCAGGTCCAGCGTGACTTCTGTTTACGTTGTGCTGGGCTCAAGCAGGTACCTTACAAGCTGTTGTACAGGGAGCTGTCTCAGTTGCCTTTGCAGTACTTTTGGTTACGCCTTGCGTTGTGTTTCTGGAATAAGATAGTCAAGTCCCGTGGGTCGGTCTATCATGACGTGTTAGTAGATGATCTCCGTCTGGCTCTTCTGTCTGATCTCAAAGTGGATTGCTGGTCGTCTAAAGTGCTCATCATTTTGCGTTGGTTGGGCCATGAGTGGCCGGCGTGTGACTCCGTTTCTCAGAAGGTAGATGTATACTCGTCTCAGTTGATTCGAGTGGGTGAGGTTCTGGAGAGGTTATCTGCGTTCCTTTTAAGTGACTGGGATCAGTTCAGCCAAGGGGGTGATCCGCGTGTGTTCCAAGGTAAAGGGGTTTCGCTTTGCAGGTATC